TAAGGTCCATGAGACAAGGACAAGGAGAGATCACTCATCGATTACTATCACAGGAAACCAGACTCAACTCGGGGAAATTAACTGAATTTATTACCAATCAAAATCAGAGCAGAATAACGAGAAGTGAAACAAATGTTAACAAAACCTTTCTCCCACCCCTCCCTCCTTCCTGGGCTCTACCTCCTTCGCCTGGAGAGGCACAGGGAGACAGAAAATGGGGGTTACATTCAGTTCATCACATTGTTTCTGCTGTTCTGTCCTCTTCAGGTAGAGGAGCCCTTCTTCTGCTCCAGTATGGGATCCCTCCAACAGGAGACAGTTCTTCAAGAACTGCTCCAGTGTAGATCCCTTCCATGGGAGTCCCTTCCTTCAAGAACAGGCTGCTCCAGTGCAGGTCCCCAAAAGGGTCACAAGTCCTACCAGGAAATGTGCTCTAGCATGGGCTGCTTTCTCCATGAGTCTGCAGGTCCCTGCCAGGAGCCTGCCCCAGCATGGACTTCCCATGAGTTCACAGATTTCTTTTGGGCATCCACCTGCTCTGACGTGGGGCTCCTCTACAGGCTAGAGGTGGATCTCTGCACTCCCCTGGACCTCCACGGGTTGCAGGAGGACAACCTCCTTCACCATGTTCATCATGGGCTGCAGGGGAATCTCAGCTCTGCTGCTTGGATCACCTCCTCCCCTTCCTTCTTTGCTGACCTTGGTGTCTGCATAGTTGTTTCCCTCACATATTCTTACACCTCTCTTCTCTGGCCACAACTACATTTGCACAATAACTTCTTTTCTTTCTTAAATACATTAATACAGAGGTGTTACTACCACCTCTGACTGGCTCAGCCTTGGCGAGCAGTGCGTCTGTCTTGGAGCCGGCTGGCATTCGCTCTCTGAGAAAATTGGGGAAGCTTTCCAGCAGCTTCTGACAGAAGCCACTCCTATAGCCCCACCTACTACCAGAACCTTGCTACACAAACCCAATATAATTATATGCATTTTTATTCTACAACAAAAACATATCTTCAAAACACCGAAAATTAAAAGCAGAAACAAAAGATAAATGGCACTTATCTTTTGGATAATATATGCCCACATATACTGTAAGACAATCTTTTGTGTATAAGGCTTCAATTATAATGAATATTGGTGTATTCAACTGCAACACAGCTATTTGATCTTAGTGTTACAAGATGATATATATTAAGAAATGCTTAAATTCATAACGAATTCAGAAAATAAATTCAAGTGTCATCAACTACGCATAGTTTGATGAAAAAGTAAATTAAAAACCTCACAAATAATTGAAAAAAACCCCAAACTCACAATTAAAACCAAACTGGATTAGAAAATACAACCAATAAAATCCAGCCTTACCCTGCTTTCCTGCTCTTCCGTCCTTCACTGGTAGTAATTTTCAAGTGTAAATAATAACATTAAGTAACAACAATAATAATGAGCTTGGCACTGGGCATTTTCCTGGAATTAAAAAACCTTAGCTCAACATACAATTCGCAACAACCAAAGCCAAATCTGAAACCCCAGGAAATGCCTTTTGCAAACACACACAGATTTGGGGGTTTTGGTCTTTCAGAAACTCAAACACAGTGTGCATTAGGATATTTTCCTGGAAAAACCTTATGACATCATAAATACCTTGTAACCCAGGAACAATGCTGAAATGTAGAGGCATAATCCATTACCTACAGCACTGGGATATTGAAACAGGCTTATTTAACATATATATCTCCTGTTTTTAAAAGGAAAGCTTAGCAATTCACTGTAAGGCTTTAAGAGGTGCCACACTACTTTATAGAGCAGCTTTTTAGTTCACTCCTCCTTTTCCCTTGCTCAGTGGAAAGCACTGTGTCTGCAGATTGTTATGGCCAAAAGTCAAGTGCAAGTTTTCTGGCCTCCTCCCAAACACAGGCTGCAAAAGTGCTGCTGGCTGGGAATGCGCTGGGCTTGGCATCCCCTGCAGCCTGACTGGGTGCGGGGTTGCAATGAAGAGAAGGTCCCCTGCTTGCCCTCAGAGCCTGCAATGAAGCCAGCTGAAATGCTTCTCCCTCGTCTTCCCTGTTGTGCTCAATACCTCTGGTTTTGATGAAATGCCACAGGAAGCTCTCTCACAAATTCTCCCTCGTCTTCCCTGCTGTGCTCAATACCTCTGGTTTTGATGAAATGCCACAGGAAGCTCTCTCACAAAAAAAAAGAAACCACAACCAGATTTGGAGCCGCCTTCAGACAGGGTTTAATGCACCTGCTTCTGCTAAAAGGAACACAGACTAATGTTAAACCCAGGGAAAGGAAAGTTTGTGATTTCTTAAGAAGCACTGCCCCCCCCTCGGATTTTCAGCTAAACACTCTTCACATCTTTACTCACATTTTTGACTGTGCAGCTGATTTTTTTAAGTCTTTCTATAGCAAAACTGTGGTTGACTTCAGAGAGGCTACAACTTAAGTATGCCTACAGGACCATGTCTTGTGCTTAATAAGATTAATTAAAGAGGGTTTTGTTTTTATCTTATCAGGTTCACAGGAGAAATCCAAACAATCAGGTGAAAGAGAGCAATTGGCACTATTTCCAGCCACAGAGCACTATGACTATAACATCCCACAGGACTAAGCAATGCAAATACATACATATATACACATGCATATATAATATATATGTTTATATATACTATAAAGATACATATATATTTGTTTAAAATTCTGTTGGATTTTCCTCTCAGGGTGTCATTTATCTTCTGACAGCTGCCTGTTTTAAAAGTCACTAAAAGAAACTTCTGAAAAGGGAACTGACCTTTCATACCAGAAACTCAATAAACTTTAAGTTTCAAGTTTCAACAAAAACAAACCCCCATTTCTTGTTGTAACGAAAGCCACTGAAAGCTGTGCAAATAAATTCTTATTTAAGTCTTTTGTAGAAGATATCAAAGGTTGGACAATTTTAAGCTTCATCCTAAGAACACAGGAGACGAACCCTCTCCCACAGATTTCTCACCTCAAACATTGGCAAGTCTCTGTCCACTGAGTTTAAGTGCAAAACTTGATAATGGAGAGAGACGCTGGGACACAGGAAAGGCACTGGTGATTTTTCCATAGGGACAGCATAACCTTTAACTAAGCACATCCAAGATCAAGCGTATTGAGCTCACTGTATACTGGGCTCTACCCTCTGTGAAGGGTTTTTACCTTTCTTCTAGTAATGCAGTTTATCAAGATAACAGTCTAGATGGTGGTGGTTAGATCTCAGCAACAGAGGCAGATGAATCCCTTTTCCAAAGCCCTCTCCCATTACTTGGCACTACTGCAACCATGGCAGTGGCTCCCAGCTCTGTGAAGCTCCTGAAAATGTGCAGAGAGCAGCAGCTTGCCTGGTGGGCCATGCAGGGACTGAAATAGATGGGCAACTGCTGCCTGTGGCTCAGGGAGTCCTTCTACACCCCTTGAAGAAGTATCATAAGTTCAGGACTTTGGATTTCCTTTTCTCTTCCTCACCTGGACAGAAGCCAGGACCTCTGCTGGTGCCCAGCCATGGTGAAATACCACCTTGGGTGGTACACCACCAGGTAGGTCAGGATTCACTGTAAACAGGCTTTGCTATAGCATAAGCTGCCCTCTAAAACTCTACAGAAAGTACATCTTACGTGACTGTATTCATCCACACAACTGGAACTGTGTTCCAGTTAATCAGTGTGTGTAAAATATTTAAAATGTAAGCACAGAAGAAAAAAAAAATGACTACAGCAATCTTTTAAAAGAGCACGCGTCAAGCTTTGTTTTTTTTCCAGTGCAAAGGAATGGAAACTCTCCCACTGACTTCAGCAGGAGCTGTGCCAGACCCTGAAAATCTTCATATAAAATTTCCATTAAGGAGAAGTTGTGCATTGGCATAAGGCATTTCTGTTTTATCCCCTGCCTTTTTCCTCCTGATAAATTGCACACTTGCAGCACATAATGTCTGAAAATGAAGCTCATAATAAAAAGATAATTCTCTGAGGCTTGCAACTGTGTAGTCAAAATTGAACACTAAAAGAATTAACATGTATAAGAAATTATATGTTTTTTTTAATTATACAGTGAGTTAAGAGGTTTATAATAATTTACACCTATAACAAAACAGGACAAATAATGGCACAATTTCATTGGTTCAATGGACCAAATAAATCCTATAGTTCACAACAGTTGTATTGCTGTTTTAAATATTGTTCTTATTGTGTTTTGCACAGCTAAGCAAAGCTCCAGCAACGAAATAAATGACTGTGAAAAGGAGGAACAAACAGACAGAATGTACAGCTCCCATTTTGCACAATTATTTTCACATTATTCCTGCTCAGACAGCTATCACAGCCAGTAGTTTTTTGCAAAAAGCTTGTATAAGAACACCTTTATCTTACAACGAACTTCCGCTAATGAAAACATCCAAGTATTTCAATCTAAATGAAAACAGACTAAAACTCAAAATCACTTCACTCCATGTGGGTGAAATTAAAAGCACTCTTGACCTCCGATCTAGTGGTGTGCCCTGGCCACAATCCAAACTTGTACCAGGACATGAGCAAAGAACAGGCTTGTATCTTGGTTTCAACAAGGAGTAAGTCTAGGAGCCCAGTTCAGGAGATGACCGGGACTGCTGAGTGCAGTGTGGTATCACTCAGCCTAGAGGTACTCTTTGTATTTCAGTGCCATTTGGCATCTTAGCAGTTTCCAAACCAGTCTCCCTCCACCTCTTAATACCTCAAACAAACTGTCTTTCATTAGCGCACCACAAATAACAGGAATGTGTCTTCTACAGAAATACAAAGGGTGTAATCTACACACATCAAACCCATACAAGAAAAAATCTCATTAAATAGCCTGAAAGAAATTCAAGTCCAGCATAACCAAAATCAACCTCCAAATGACTCAGTAGTGTGCACCAGGTCACCCCCTGTACGTACATCTTGTAATTAAATTGGCTTAAAGTTAAAAGAATTGTTCACAGTGAGACTGGCCTTTCTTACCTTTTGCCACATTTTGATGAAGAAGAGCTCCCCAGAAAAATTGAAGAAAACATTGGTGTCATAGGCATCATCCCCAATGTTAGAGATGAAAATGTTAAGCGAAATGTTCCTCACTGCTCCCAGGGCCAGGTAGGCAGTTCTGTCATCAACACTGTAGGCAGAAACAGTTACACTGGTTTAACTCCGGTCAACTTTCACATACGCCATACTGGGAATGAACAGCTCCTGACTCCTGGTTCTGACACAGTCTTTTGGAACTGTAAGAAAACCCTGTGATCCTCATGTGGAACTATTTCACATGACCTATTTTTAGTGATAACAAATTAGTTGAAAACTGTAAAGTAAGTGAACAGAGAAAATGTAACAAGATAATATGCCTGCATTCAAATACACAAGTTTGTCTTTCAAAGGTTCATATTTATTGTAACATTCTAGCAACCCTGTGAAAAATCTTCTTTGAGTTATGCTATGGACAGAAAAAATGGAAATGAGGATCAAATAAAACCCAGAAACTGGTGTAAATGAAAAGAATGTGTAGAAATTTCAACAAATGTTCAATAAATGTGACTAATCTTTCTTCAGATGTTTATGGTGGAGTCACCTTCTACAAGGGGAATACCAAGGGGATGGTTCAATTAAACTAACTGCTATACATCGCGAATTACATTATTGCAATATGGCATCACAGATTATGAACAAACACAGACATGCACACATAGAGGGAAATATAAATATTCATCATACATTTATTATTTGTTATTTAATCTTTCTAGGCTGTCCAGAAGATGAGCTAACAAGTAGGAATAAAGGCTAAAGATAAATCACAAGAAAATACAGTATCAATGCACAGAACTGCAGGTCTTGGATGTGACAGTAAAGTAAAAGATAATATGATATGATATACCAGGTATTTATGTAAAAATTAGCAAAAATAGCCAAATACAAAATTTGCTACAGTTATCATAACTGGAATCTAAGACCATTCATACATTCTGGAGAAAGAGAGACAGTGTCACAGAGAAAACACTGAGTGGCTAGTCAGAAAAGGGTGAAGACCTCCAGCTGCACAGCAGGGAGATGCTCTCCATTACTTCTTCTAGGGTACAGTCATCCCAAAAGTATGAAGGAACCACATTTCATTCACTCAATTTTCATAAAGGAATGGCTGTGCTGGCAACACACACATTAGCACATGCTGCTCCTCTGCTTATCAGCAACTCTCTGAAGATGGCTGGTGTGGAGGACATGAGCTGTGTTTCAAGGTAGCCTTGTCCCTCCATTACTGTCAGCCCTCCTCTGCCAGCCTTGTTTGGGGTACTGCAGCCAGAGCATTTGCATAAAAGTGGAGTTTCTGGAAATGTGGCACTTATAAACCGTTCAGCATCTTCTACCAACCATAGCCATACCAGATGGCCAAAGGCAGAGCCTGCTGGGCTCCACTTGTCTGCATTTGCCAAGAAGTTTCTAAATGTGGGTTTTTGAGTACCTACCAAAGCAGCCATGGGTTCTGGTGAATGAGAAATGCAGAGGAAGATGGTCTAGACTCAGGCTTTAAAGCTGATGGCTGTGGATTGTGAGCGTAACTTTTCCATGTAATGCAGACAACATTTGTAGCATATTTGTTTACCTACTTACTTCATTAATGATAATCTTCATTTATTAAGACCAAAATTATGGCTTACAGTTCAATAACACTTTCTCATGAGGCAGATATAAGTATCCAGGAAATATGTCTGCTTTCTCACACTTGCAGACATTGACCAATCCTATTGATAATTGGACACTTTGCTTTCAAAACATTATAGTTTATTCTCATAGTCAATTATCAAATGCAAATAAAGATTTGCAAAAGTGTGCAGTGCAGGATCAAATGTAAAACTAGTTTGAGAGGTCCAAATAATTTGAGTTGTTGCTCCTTATATACCAAATTAATAGCTCATCTACATGAGATTACTTGGAAGCATTTAACATTTTCACGCCAATTTCTGTTGGTTCTGAAAATTTACTGTTGACAGAAAAATTATGAAGATGTTAACCAATCTGCTGGGATTTTCTAATAATCAAAAGTCCATATTTGGAAGTAAAGAAATAAAGTAACAATTTAATACTGTGAATTATTTCTCATGAACTTTATAACCTCACTTCTTGCAATCACTTTCAAACTTAATGAGCATCTATCATACTCATTAGCAAAATCTGGAAGTATCATTTCAGTAAGCAAAAGAACATTAAAAGATATTTATCTTATGTAGGGTTGATACTAAATGCAATGGCATGCTACAGAATCCTCTCAGAACTTTGATATTTAACATAAATTGAAGACAATCGAGAATACTCTCCTTTGTACTTAATAATTAAAAATGCTCAGAATCCTATTTAGAATTAAACCCACAAAAAGTAATGCAAAAATAAACACCAGTGGCTTGTGTTACCCCTTTCTAAAGCTATCACTCCTCTGTTAAAAGTTTATCATACCAAAATGACATTTTCCTCAGTATTGAAAGAAAACCCACTTTTAAGAGCACGCTGTGGCTGCTCCTATACAAAATCCACGCACAAATAAACTGTGAAAAATCTCATTGATTTTAGGTTGGCAGGCGAGTTCAGTTCTCCTTAAAGGCTATATGAGACTTTGCTGTAAGTTCCATTTAAAGCTTTCTGAGTCATTGAATATGTGTACATCTGAATGAATTAGGCTCACTTGCAGTGAGAAGAGGACTAGGAGTGTTCACAGGAGAGATTCAAGCCCTGTTTGCTGTTTGAGAGAATAATGTCATGACTGAAGACAGCTTGCTGTGCTGCTGGAGCAGCTTGGCTGCCAACCTGGTGCCGCACTCCTCCAGCACCTGCCACACACTAAGCACCCTAGCTGGCAAGACAAAATATGTCAACTAAAGAACTGTTGTCACCTGTCAGAAACAAAAAAACAAACTAAAGCCACCCCTTCATCTCAACAAGGTATGTCAAACAATTTAAGAAACATAATCCAGCAATGAGCTTTTGTTTATATTTTATTGTATGAGAACTACAAAGCTGCCAACATTCTCAACATGACCCTCATAACCTTGCTCACATACAGGAAGAGAGGCTAAAACCAAAAACAAATTCAAAAAAGAAAAAGAAAAGTAAAGGAAGACAAGAAGGGGGGAAATATATTAAAAAAATCAGTTAATTGCACAGAACAGTACCATCTCATAACAAACAAAAAATGAAGACAGTAAAAGAACTCAGTAGACTGTAAATGTATATATACATTATATATAGGCAAACACATTTGTACACACATACATACAGACACATGAAGGATATCAAGCTATCAGTGTTTGCATGGAAAGAAAAAAAGTTTGAAATTCAGAAGAACTAAGTACTTGCAGCTTTGATTCACATGGCCTAGACTTGCAGGTAGCAAGCAATTCTGAAATTCAGGCTCAAAATTTTTTCACTACAATGGTAATACACATCAAATGTAAATAGAAATATTTAATCTTTTCCTTGTAAGTGATTAAGAAAAGAGAACAAATTTCAGGATAAAACAAATACCGCTTTTGCATGCTTTAATGCTCTTTGTTAACATCCAGACCACAGCATTGCACTATGGTCAGCAAGAGAAGAAAGACCAGTTGAGAAAGACAAACTGAAAAGACCTGCAATTTTCATTTCTCCATCCTCCAAGATGCTGGTGTTTTTATTAACCTGGGTCAGTTGAGGCATAATCTGCATTCCAAATGGTATGCAGGGACATTTTTCTCTATTTCCTGCACCAGGGTGAATTTTTTCAAAAATTGAGAAAGCATTCAGCACTTTTTCTCAGCCTGTGCAGTCCATAGATAAGGCAAGGAACGTGACAGGGTTGCACTTACCCTGTTAGGCTGGGTCACTGACTTTCCCTTTTATATTAGGAACCTTTCTTTCCTTACCACACATCAGCATCTATATGGATAAATCACCACTACTGCTCAGTGGACAGTGGAAGATACAACTGTGGTAAGTTAAAATGGGTAATGCTTAAAACAACTCAAGTTCAATCTGTCCTCCACCTCCATCAGATGAAATTAAAGAACCCCACCTTTTGCTTGTAAATCAGTAAAAGCTGAGTCAACAAACACTGGTGGTTATGACAGAGCCAAACAGATTTCTACCTTCACCAACCAGCATTGGTCTTTGCAGTTACTAAAGTACATATTAATTTTATCTTCACAGAATCTTTACATCAACTCTGAATACCTTTCTTCTGTTGGCTTTTTATCACAGGTTCCAGGGTTAACTGAACTTTAGGAGGAGTTTTGCAAATACTTAAACCTCAAGGGCCAATGAAAGGCTGAAACCCTCAGTTGATCTGGGAATTCATTTGATATTTCAGTGCAAAACTGAGGGAAGCACCCCGAAAACCAAATCGAAAACAAAATTTTTAAACAACCCCACTATAGTATAGCATTTTACATACAATAGTATAAACTATAGTATTTTACAATGCTTGGTTATATGTCTTCTCATCACATGTGTGTTAAAGGTCAACTCTCTCTGCAAAGTTCGCAGTCAATTTAGACTAAGTACTGAGCCAAATGCTCAAGATACAATGGCTTATTCTGCATTAACTAGCTACTGCCTTCCCCTTCTTAGACTGAAGTCTATGTAAGTAAAGGCTCAAAGAGACCTCATGCAGCTGATGACCACAGCCTACCTGAGGTGCATTAAGCCAGCTGTGGTAAATTATCTCGGGGCCATCAGATCATTTCATTAATGATCTTTTCCTCTATTTTTTAATCTATTTCTCAAGTAGAGACTTTGCAGTGTTCTCTCAGTAGTATATAAATGAGGTGATGGGAAAAATGTAAATGAGAATTTGAGGAGTGATCAACCAAGGTTCTGTGTCAGCAGAGCACATTTTAGGAGTAATATCGTAACAATATTGCTCTCCATGAAGACTGAGTAACAATGTGCTAATGTTTCCCCTTAAGAAGGAAGTAAATGTCCCATATGGAAAACGTGTTTACTGTGGTGAGCCCAGGGCCAAGGCAATGGAATTGCTTGTGCCAGTACCCTTCTGGCACAGAGCTACTGTCTCTAGCACTTCAGTTCCCATATAGATATTACAATTCAGGAATATGGCACAGAGCCTTATCTTTTCCATATTTTCAACACTTTAACATT